AAAAAAAAAGAAAAGAAACGAAAAAGAAGTCCATTAATTGCTGGTTATAGACGTTCCTTATAATTATCTGGTACATCATTGAAACTTAACTTTATATACATGTCTCTAATTCTGTACGTTTATATCTGAAAAATTCTATTCATCATCATCATCATCATATATATGATTAATATTGTTAGTTCTAGCTGTGTTAATTTCCATCAAAATTTCATGCCCATGATTAATGAAATTGCTGTTTTGTTTGGTATAATTAATAGAGAGAGATTCATATAAATATATATGCATATGTATATATAGTTTTTCTAATTTCTTTTAATTTGACCAAAGAATATGAACATAGTAGGAAACCAAATTTGGTATGAGATATGTATATATATGTTCTATATATTAATTATAATGGTTCATAAAAAAAAATATTAATTATAATCATATACATTACCATGTGTCCAATTAATGTACTGTATGGGTTTTAACTTGGTTAAAAAGAAACAGTGAGCAAATAAAATAAGGGATTGTGCAGAAAATCAACACATCATGTCAATTGAAATACTAAGATTTTTTATAAAATTATTTAAATATTCTTAATGAATCAATATATAAAAAAGATTTATTAAAGGTTTTAAATAATTTCATAAGAAATTAGCATTTTAAATTTTAGGACCTTCTAATTTTCATTTTTTTCTTAAAATAAATTATAGGAACTTGTTAATTAGCATAATGTGCAGCAAATCTCCTTTTGTATACAAATAGGCATGCATAATGTCAGTCGCGCAGGTCTAAAAAAGGCAGTATTGCATGGTTTTAAAATTCAGTTCTACTTCTCAGCTGCCTCTTCATAGTAGTTTCTTGGAGAGTAGTTTACATAACAGCTTCCATATATAGCATACATTATATATATATATATATTAGCAATAGTTAGGCTCATTTAGTTCTGCAGGTCTTAGTATCAATGTGTTAATTCTAGCTACCTAGCAAATCTTGATTTTATAGGCTTGAGTCCAATTTTATTATTTTCTTAACCTGTTCTGATGGAGAGGCTATATATCTGTTGATATTTAATTTCCCATTTTGTTGATTAATTTTCCATGAAACTAGGAAATTTTGAGTGATGGAAAAGTATGTGTAGATTACATGAAAAATGCATATATAACATAAAGCTCATTTTTCAACATATCACAAATATATATATATATATATATACTAGATTGGGATTGTTCCCTAGTTTATTGAAGTCCTACCATTGTCAATATGTACTCATGTTAATGCTCTAATTGAAAGAAAAACCAAAACCCTAGAAACTACAATAAGAACAAAATATGACATCACCCTCGCACAGTGTAGTTGATTGCATGCTATATGATATGCTATTTGATCAAGTTTCATTTTTCTTTTCTTTTCTTTTCTTTTTTTTTTTTTAATATCAGCCAAAATGATATATGCCATTTGATATCAAGTGATCATTTAATTAGTTTTGTGTTTATATTCATAAAGTACAGCAAATTCTTGATTGATTAATCTAGATCTAGTACCATATATATATATATATATTATCAAAATATTGAAATCTAATTCCCTACATATTGATCTTAAATTTGAAGCCTGATAGATTAATTTTGAGCTATAAAATATATATCTTTTGTTCCCTCAAATCATTCAAATTTCAAAATCTTCAATATTCATAGGTCATAGAATGGTGCATTATCTTTCCATTATAGATCAAAGTAAAATAGAATGTTATGGTGATAGATTAGGTTCTTTGAACGTTACACAAGATAGATTCACAGTTCTCTAACATTAATTCATATACATATATATATATATATGTGTGTGTGTGTGTTTGTAAATATTTATCAATATAAGCAACACACATCACACTTGACTATAGGGAAGCAATTGCCAAGAAGTAGGCAGTAGGCAGTGCATGTAGTTAATTTATCCACACTTTTCTAAGCATTGAACAAGTATAGCTAATCAGAGGCGTGAACTTGAACTACTTGAATTAAATAAATTAAAGCCTGTTTCTTTACATTAAAAGCATATATTAATTTTTCTTTCCACGTGTACAGAGTACTACTATACAGTACCCAAACCATAATTAATCAATATATTGATTTATGCATGATTCCCAAGATAATTAACATTAGTTTTTGCATTACAAATCGGGATTAATTTTTGTTTACCATATACTATTTTCGGTTATATAATTCCTGCAATTAATATTCCTAGTTTGAAGTTGAAGGTCCAGTTTTATTTAATTTGCCCCAGTTTAAGCTCCAATTTTTCTTTCCAGATTCATGGCTTTGTAGCTGGAAGAATATTTTCCAATCTAATGGATGCAACTTGATATGTGTGGTATGGACTACCCAAGAAGACGCCTGGTTTCTCGTGAATCTACTTGCTATTGGTTTCACGTGGATAACATATCTCTGATCGGACTAGTGTTAAATTAATTTTGTATCTTTTATTGATTTGACATGAATATCATACATTTGATTAAATTAATGTTAAATCAATTATGTGAAATGATATATGATATATATTTTATACCATTAGCACTAGCCAAAAAGCAAGCACCTATATATATACAGAGAAGGAGAGCAACATATGGTACCATTATAGTCGAAAAAAGGTTCATTAATTTTCCATTAAAGAGAGATTCCCGTATGCTTAAAAGTCATTGGATTGTACTACCCTACCCTATAAAAGAGAGGACGAGCATGCATGTATCTAGGGCTTAGGCTTAATATCTAGCTAGGCATAATTGATTGTAATAAAAAGGGAACCCCACATGAGGTGTGGAACTTCACTGCACCATATATGCCTGCCCCCTATTATTCTTTTTCTTGTTCATCTTTGGTTTTTGTTTTTCTCTTCTTTTTGGCTTAAAAGATTTCCACTTACGCTGAGGCTGCAGTGTGCAGTGGAGAAGAGAGGCGTGGGATGCATAAACACTCTTTCAGTAGTCTTTGGCTAAGCTGAACTTGAAATTGTATGGGACCACGTTCTGTTTGTGTCAATTCTAGCTAGCTATACATGCATTTAATTAAAGCATCTTCTTACTTTTTCCCTTGGCATTATACGGCTATTTATAGGCTTTCTTAATTAGGACAATATTGGATTCTTCCTTCTTCTTTTTTTTAATAGAAAAATTAATGAAAAGGATATATAATTGGATTCTTAATCTCATACGTAAAGCAAAAAAAAATCTATGTGAGATAATGGAGAATATATGAGAAGGGTTTTGGATGGAAAAATATTAAGGAATTTATTAGAATTAAGCATAAAATATAAATCTTGTTTCTAAAATTCAAATGCCTAACAAATTAAGGATATAAATTATAATCATATATGTCTCTTAAAAATCAAGGAGAATGAATTTAGAGTCTACAAATTGGGCTAAGATGACATAAAAAAATTGTTAAGAAACTTCATAAAATACTCACTTAATTTATTAATTTTAAGTGAGAGTGCATGCATGTATTTAGGCACTCCCTTAGTTGACTCATGAAATTCTTTATATATAAGTTTCATGTGCCATTAAGATGAAAATGTGTTACAAGCTAGAGAAGATGATTCCTATATAGTGTGTATTCTTAATTTTCAGGCATTGCCTTAGTTGACTTATGAAATTTATTATAATCATATGAAGTCATTATTTTGGTTGGTTGAATTTTATATGGAGCATTAATCAAAGATAAAAATGTTAAAAAAGACAATTCCTAAGGTATTTTATAATGGAATATTCTTAATTTAGTTTTTCATTTGTTAAGGTTAAGATTATGGAGAAAGTAACTTTAAATTAAGGGTCTTAAAGTTAAACAAAATGGATGATGTATAAGCAAAAGGACTTTAGATTTCCATTTAGATTTGGGTATCACATTGAATGGAATTAAACCAATCTTCTCTTGTAGTGTCTTTCAAAAATAGGTACCTACCTATATGGGGAATACCCTTTCGAATGTCAAATTATTCAAAATAAATATTTTAAAATTGGAGGATAAATTAAAAAAATATATTCAAAGAAGTGTTTTATACTTTATATTGCAAAACATTAGTTATTAAATTAAGAAGGACTTCTTAATATTAAGAAATGATTTCTTTATTAAATGATTGGTGTTTTACGGTGTAAATTAATCAGATTCAAATAAATTTTGCTTGAATTTTTTGCATATTAAGTGGTCAAAGTTTGACTTAAATACCAGGCCTCGTTGCGACTTAGCCCACCTGAAATGACAGGCCTATATGACTTGATTAATTAGACTCATCTGGTTAATATGAACTTCTACATCGGCCCAGATTCGGACCCACATGCCCATTTAGAAGGAATCGAAAACGATATCATTTTCCGACCAAGCTCGACGTCGACTATCTTCCGATTGCAAATTCAAGAGGAAAAACGATAAAAGTTCCCATTTTCACCGGAAGAATTAACCTTCTCTGCAACTGGGTTTTTGAGCTTTGTTTGAATGGAGTACAGAAGTGTCCAATGCGAATTTTGGGTCACAATACTACGTTAGAACTTAAATATATATATATATATATATATATTTTTTTTGAACAAATTCGTAAGGATTGGATTTGAACCGTTGCCCTTGGGGTGAGGAAATACACTTACATGTGGCCTGACGTCATTGGATTTGAAGACCCAAGTGTTAGAACTTAAATATTTTAATAAAAAAATAAAATAATATATTTTATTAATTATAAAATAATATATTTTATTAATTGAATTGATTATTTCATTAAAATTTTAGTCAAATTAGTCATTGTAGGTTAATTGTCCTACTTAAAGGTACATTATTATATAATAATTATTCAAATTATTCTTATAATTAATCTATAAATAAAAATTACATGACTATGAGTTTTATAAATAGAATATATCTTTTTATTTAACTAGGTTTGTTCTTCCACATTCTCATATTTTTCTTACCTTATTTTATCTTCTAAATATTTCTTACCTTTATCTTCTAAATATTTTTTAGTAAAAAAAAGTGTTTTGAGTTAGACAACTCTATGAATAATATAAATTTATAGTGTTATTATAAAACTGTAACATTCTGAAAGTGACACATTATATATATCTCTATTGTACTAATCAATTTACACTTCATAGAGGTATAAATTGTCTTAAAGTAAATAAACTTTTCATATCTATTTTGATGATAATTTCTTATTGATATTTTCTAATGAGTTCATTAATTATTATTTTATTTGATTTTGTTATTGAGACACAAAAAGGACATGATGTGGAGATGGAAAAGAATGTTTGAGGAACAACAATTTTAAGGTAAGTCAATATGTAAAACAAAATTGAAGCTTGTACCACCTTGTGTGAAAATTTCATAACCCAAGTGAAAAGACTAGAAAAGAGAGCTACCCAAATTGCTCCATGCAATATTTTTGAAAAAATGGACATGAAATTTAGGTTGATATATTCCTGAAGGGAAATGATTGGTACACTTACCGGTTCAACACTTGGTTTAACACTCGGTTCAACACCTTTTGATTTAATAATTAAAAATATAATATAAATATAGTTAATTCAACCGGTTCATGTATCCTGTGTGCATTATTGTATCATTATACTTGTCTGTTTTTAATTTCAGACTAAAAAATAATAATTTTTTAATGACTAAATCAGATGATGTTGAACCAGATGTTGAACCAGTGGATATACCAATCACTATCAATTCCAAAAACATAAGTTAAATTTTTTTAAGCTTGTGTGCCGATGAGCCATTTGTGGTGATAAAATGTGAAATGAGTTAATGCTCTTATGAAATCTTGTGAGAAAAAGAGCTTTCCATAAACTCAATTATTTGAAAAATGTGAAAATTAATATTTGAGACACTTCTAATGTGGGGGATTATGATATCTCTATGTATTGTTATTAGTGATGAGACTAATGGTGCCTCATTGACATTTTGTATAGCATTCCTATTATACAATAAGGTATAATGGTTCTTAAGTGAGCAAATATGATATACACTTCTATTATACAATTATGGTGTAATGATGTATAGTGAAAAATAATAAGGCACTTTACTTAAATAGAAGGGATATGTTTTGATGGACATTTCTATTGTACAACAAGGTACAATAGGGTTTGAGTTAAAAATTCTTAAATACAGATCATTATATATGGAAAGAAAAAGGTGGTTCACTAGCTTGAATTGATATAAAAAAATTATGATACCATGAATTGAGAATTTGAGAAATATGAATGTGAAATATGGTAGATGTGGGTTGATGTGAAAAAAAGTGAGAAAAAGAATGAGTTGAATCTTTTCGTTGCCATTATAACACCAACTAAGCCTTTGGTAAAAACAAAAGTTAGAGGAAAATTTATAATTATAGTCCAAGATCTAGTGCTCATCAAGGAGAATGAGATTTAAGCCCAATAATGTAAAACTTCCTATGAGGATACCCAATCCAAATTCTAAGAATTGAGTTTCAAATGGGAAAAATGAATCATAAAAAAGTCCTTACTAAAAATGCATCAATATTTAACGAAAAAATTTTCAGTCCCATTTTTAAGGTGAGGATGCATCTATCCCATAACAAATTAAGGGTTAAGTTATATATTTTTAATGAAATTTGTAACTCAATGAGTGGGGTGTCTTAGTTATGGGAGCAATCTTGACAAATTTCACCTATGTTGGTGTTGCAATGATACTGCTTCTATAAAAATTGGATGGGCAATTTTCCATATTATTCATGAAAACTAGGATCATGCACAAAGTCATAACACACCAGCTATGTGAAAAACTCAATATTCATATCATTATTTATATGATATAATTTTTGTATCTTCCTATGAGGTCATAGCTCAAAATTTAGTTTAGTATTGACTTTGGATTAAGAATTGTTGACTCATTAAATAAAAGTTCAAAGTTTAGTAACCTTTATTATGCATAATAATCCATCTTTACTCAAAAGAAAGGTTTATTTTTTTTCTTAAGATAGTGGGAGAATTGTTGAAATTTAAATATTTTAATAAAAATAAAGTAATATATTTTATAAATTAAATTTATTATTCCATTAAAGATTTGATCAAACTAACCGTTGTAATAAGTTAGTTTCCTTATTTAAAGGCACATTATTAAATGATAATTATCCAATTTATTCTCATTATTAACTTATAAATAAGAGTTACATGACTATGAGTTTTATAAATAAGATATGTCTTTTTGCTCAACTAAGTGTTCTTCCATATTTTTCTATTTTTCTTACCTTACTTTTATTTTCTAAATATTTTTTTGATAAAGAATGATGTTTTGAGTTAAATCACTTTATGAGCAGTGCAAATTTATAGAATGTTATTATAAAATTGTAACATTTCGAGGACCACATACTATATAAATCTTTGTTGTACTAGTCAATTTATACTCCGTAGAGGTATGAATCATCTTGAAATAAATAAATTTTTCATATATATTTTGAAGATAACTTCTTCCTGATATTTTTTAATAAATTCATTAATTATTTTATTTAATTTTGAGACCAAACCACAATAAATAATATGACGTGGAGACGGAGAAAAATGTTCAAAGAAACAACACACTGTTCGTGCAGTACTCACCGGGAAACATTCGACTGATGAAATTTGTAAGCTTTGATTCCCCTTTTGATTTCTCATTCTCCTTAACTTCTTCGAACTGTGTTTTCTAGGAGAACTGCGGAGCAGTTTCTGACGACTCCATTGAACATGACTTCATGGAAAGTTCTCCAAAAAAGAAGAAGAAGAATTGATGGTAGGAACCTTTGAATTCTATAAAGTTAATAGCGAATTCTGAGGTACCCTTTTGATTTCTGAGTTGGTTTAGAGCTGATTATTTTTTCTTGGGTCAATTTTAGTTAATATATTCTGATCTTGATTTCTCAATTGGTATAGATACTTTTGATTGATTTAATCTTGCACAAGCCAAAAGCATATATATAGGCATCTACTTCACAATGTGCTTAATCTAAAAACTTTCCATTTTCAGGTAGGGGAGATTATTTTCCTCCTGCCAGTCTCTCTCTCTTTTTTTTTTTTGTTTTTTTTGGTTTAAATTGATTTAAAACTGTGAACTTAGGTTTCACTAGTCTTTTCAGTTCTAGCATTCTGGTTATTAAGACTAGATTTTGAAAATTTTCAGAGTTTATATTGGCAGTTGTTGGTGGGTTTTATTCTTGTGGATGCCTTTATCCTTTTCCTTAGAGACCTTTTCCAATAATTCCTTATGCTCTCTATACAGACGATAGCGTGCCTTGGCAATCTAGGATAGAACCCTGCTTTTGCAAAGAAGTGGTGAAGAATGGGCTTGTCAATGAGCATCTCTTCTTTCGGGAAGGTTTGTGCATGAGTGCAAATGCATTTTAGATTTGCAGTGTTTGATGGGTTTTGATTATACGTGAATTCTAATGGATGCCCTTATGAATGCTGATTGTAGATGTTAATCAATGTGTTTTTTGGTAACCTAGTAATGTAACCTTATGTTCCTTCGTACTTTTCTTCTTGCAATGTTGATTATCTTGAAGACATCAATTGGAGTCTTATGTATGAGTTTGCATAATCTTGGTTGTTTTTGTTTACTAATCACTACATAGGCATATGGTTTACTGATCTTAAGGTACTTATTTGGTATTTGTGACAGCGTGGTGATTTGAGAACTAACACGAGACAATTGGGTTAATATTCTCTATTACAGCAACTTATATGTCTTATTGTTCCTTAACTTCACAGGTTCAGAGACCTTTTGTTGGCAATACTAATTTCAAGTTACTTGGAGATTTTTCTAGCTGCCACAATGGTCTGACTCCTTAATGCCAGGTAACTTGATTTGCAGTAGTATATTATCCTACAGTCTGAAATCTGAATGTTTTGTTCATTCCTTGTTAGAAAAATAGGGTAGAAAATCTGCAAAAGGTTTTAAGGTGTGCTACAACGAAGCACCTTGTTGATATTGTCTTTGCACTAGCAAGATCAACCACTAAATAGTCCTTTGAAAAGTGACAAAACAATAGTTTTTGTATAAAGATTTATGTAGCAATCGCAATACAAAAAGGGGTTGTTTTATGTAGATAATGGTAAGGATTTGTTTATGGGTTCAAGAGACAAAGAAGAAGAGATAACTCTATATTTATAGGGGTAAGATGTCTGTTGAGAATAGACGTTCCATTTCAGTTTATTAACTAAAAATATTTGAATTTTCGTTAAATTTATTTATTGGAAACTCTTCCAAAAGTCATTTGGTTATATTTGAATTTCAACTTACGTGTTTTCCTACCTTTCAAAGTTATCCACTCTTCCTTCAAAAACTTATTAGAATTCTATTTCTTGTTTCTAATGTAAATGGTTTGAACCATATAAATGTGATTCGAACCAAAATTATAACTTTCTGAATTCTGATTTTCCTACCTTTCAAAGTTATCCACTCTTCCTTCAAAAACTTATTAGAATTCTATTTCTTGTTTTTAATGTAAATGGTTTGAACCATATAAATGTGATTCGAACCAAAATTATAATTTTCTGAATTCTGATTTTACTAAAAGGATCAAATCATAATTATATGATTTGATCCAAAAGTTATACTTTCTCAAATGCATTTTATACAATTGTTTCGAGCTAACTTTCTGTGATTCAAACCCAAATTCTAGAACTATTTTGAAAATTCTTCAACAGATCTCAGCCCTACCTACTTGTTATTTATCGGAGAAATTCAAATATCCATTATCTAACTTCTTCCCATATTTACACGGGTCTGGGAATTTCCATCTTCAGTTATTTTCATCATCGATTTATTGATTTTATCACCTAATGCAGAGGCATTAAAAGGTCAGATAAGCTCATTTCATTTTTACAGCACATAACAAACAATCAGAATGTCTACTTGTTTAAACTCTTGTTAAATATATAGTAATTATAATTTGCCAGCAGGCAGGCACCTGGCTGTAGTTGATATTACGAAACGTAATGTTTGTCATCGGAAAGGCTGTCAAGCATCTCCTTCCCTTGAACCAGTGACCACCAAGTCAGCCATGAACTGGTGCGTGGGAGTCAGCCTAAGTGCACATGCTGTAAAATTGCTCAGCACACCTAAGTTTGAGTTGAGATCTTTAAGATATTCAAATATTTTTAAGTTTTTTGAGTGTCTATACTACAATGGTAAGGGTATTCCTATATATATCAGTCTTCGTGTATGTCAACACTAATCTCTCTCCGGACAATTTTATCGATGCATTCCCTTTTATCGGATTAGTGTATTTAAGAAAATTAATTTTCTTAAATGCTAACTTTAAAATTTAAATTATTTAAGTTATAAGATGACATTAGTTTATCAATAAATTCTCATTGAAAATCTAATAAAGACAAATATCATTGATCACAATCCAGATGATTAAAATGACTCAAAGGCATCTTACCCCTGGACTTCCTCGGTTTTACAAGTTAACGAAGGACATCACACTCGAATGCTCTCCACGGCTTGAAATGTCAGCTGTCTCATATTCTTTTTTCTTCAATTTACTAAGAACGAAGGCATTTACACAAATACAAATCAATGTGACTATGATGCTCATTCGAACTTAGAGAAGGAAGAAGGGAAGATATCGCTGTTGAACGAGACGGAAAGGGTGCTCACTCTAGTAAGCCCAAAATTCGGTGGTTATATACATCAGAACCGACTCCTTGAGAAAGTTGGTTCGTTTGTTTTGTTTTTAATCTTTATTTATAGGACTATTGTTTAGCACTTTCTTTTATGCAAGTTATACATTTTATAATTATTAATGAAAGCAACTAATTAAATATTAAAAACTTGTCCCTCAACTATGATTATAAGATGTGCAACAATACATCACTTTTTTTTTTTTTTTTTTTTTTTTTATTTTTTTTATATAGAAAGAACTTGCTCATGAAGTTTTTTTATTATTTAATTTTTTTGAAAGAAGAGAACTTCGTCTGCAAGGTTTTTTAGTATTTTTATTTTTTTGTAAAACTTCTTCAATAAGTTGTTATATTGTACTTTTTGTATTCGTCATAAAGAATGCAAGTGGGCGTGGATCCTAGTTTTCCACTATAAAAGGCTTCGAAAGGAAAAGACCCAATGGAAAAACATGAGGGGTTAGCTCCTTGCATGGTTTAGGTTTGTAAAGCCTAATTCCATGGTCAAAACTTAAAAAGCCCCTTGATAAATAAAAAGTACTTAAATTTAAGGAATTTCTATCCACTGAGTTGTGAGTCCACTGGAGCTACCGCACGAAGAGAAGAAGCTTTGGCTTGGGCTTTGTCCACGTTGAAAACAACTAATGGCTACGAGAGCTCCTGCTCAAGTTTTGGTTTTTATTTTTATTTTTGTAGAACTTCTTCAGGAGGTTGTTATATTGTACCTTTTGTGTATATGGCAGAGAGAATACAAGTGGATGTGGATCCCAATTTCCCATTACTAGGGGTATCTTTGGAATTGGATTATGTTAAGAAGTTGCTCTACAAGCTCTAGCCGACCCTACCACCAAATCATTTTCATTTTGTGTTAGTTCCAGTCAGATTTCGGCATTTTTCTTTTGTTAGTTTGGTTAAGCTGTCATGTTCCCCAACCCCACCCCACCATTTATTGTCAATGATAGCTACTAATCTATAGAGATCATCATAACTGCTTGAATGTGACTGGAGGAAGCCAACGGCCCGGCTTCCAGTTAAAACAACTAGCCATAGTTATAGAAGGATAGCAGCTTGTTCCCTCTACCGGGCACATATACATACATAAATACACACACACACACACACATATATATTTGGCCAACATTGGTGTAAAGACATTAAGATATCAGAATAGCAACTTCATAGATAACAATGGGACTTAAGCTCCATATATATAATGCAATACAATACAACATTACAGTACAATTATACAACCTTTGTTTGTTATATGAGACCACAATTGTACACAATAATTGTTACAATCCTAGAGTGATATATTGTTATGTCATCACAAGAAGGCATGCAGCAAGGAATTCCAGCTGAATGTGAGACTCCTTGCAGCTTTGGTAGTTTCATGTCTTCTCACAATGTAACGCTAGACATGCAAGCACCTAATGAAGAGATACCACGTGACTTTGAACAAAATTACACCGAAAACTAGGTTGCAAAGATATACTGATAGTGGACTTGGTCTGCAGCCTGAGGCATCGCCTTGAAAATGAAATAATTTCTGAACTTCTTCTATTGCTGCTGGTTGACTCAGAAGATCAGCTCAAATCTGCTTTAGTTTATCATTCCCGATCCATTGCACAGTCTGTTAGACTGCCCAAGGGGCTTCTCATTCCAGACAAGTTTTGGGAAGGAAGAAACTATTGCTTGTTCATTATATTGTGCCTTCGTGGTTTCCTAATTAGGAAAATTGACTTCTTGATTTGGTGGCTTGATGGAGTTTGTTCTGGATTTTTTGGTCTATATGAGGAACATTTCAGACAACTTTAGTTTATCTGATGAACATTTCAGACAACTTCAGTTTATCTGAATAACATCTCAGACAACTTCAGTTTATCTGATCAATTTTCTGAAATTCTAAATGGTATTTTTCTTCTGAAATTCCTCCAATATCTCATATTGTCTAACCACTATTGGTTGTCACCTATTTTCAGAACCTTCATCAGGTATTTCTTCTGACATTGTTCACATATCTAATTTTTGACAAGGGAACAGAATGTCATCTATTTTCTGAAATTCTCCAAATTTTGATAACTGAATATTTATCGTTGTCTAAAATTCTTCAGATATCTAATTTTTGATAAATGAAGACCAATTATTTTCTAAAACTCCTCATGCATCTAAATTTGATCATTGACTACATTGTCTGAAATTCTTCACATAACAATATTCATACCTGAAATTCTCCAGGTAATTTGTTATAGGATTGTTCATATAGCCTACAGCTTTGCTACATGAACTGTAACTTCAATCTAAAAGATTGTCTGATTGTGTTGCTTTTGCATCTTATCTCTTATCTCGAGTTTTCTAAATCTGGACACAACTTTGGTGCCCTATTCTTGTCTTCAATGAATAATCTCCAAGTGCTTACTACTGATCTTGCATCTTGGGTTATCATTAAAGAAATCATCTCTACCCTGCATTTGGGCAAACCTAATTTCAATTGACTGATTCGACTAATATGAGTTCTGGCTTGAAAGTAAATTCATCTGCCAGTATTCTATGTTGATGGTATTCTGGAGAAGTGGCTTCTAAAGGAAAATTGGTTTAGGGTTAAGCTGGAAGTACTCAACTCTAATCTGCTGGACTGGATTTCTTGTCTACTTAAAAAGCATTTCAGATGAAAGTGTGTATTCTAACTAATGTTAGAATTTTCATCTGAATATATTTTCAATCTCTTACTCTTATGCTTGTAAGAGAATGAAGATTCCAGCAATTCAACATCTCTTGCCTGCAAATAGAAATAGAAATAGTTTGGTGCTTATAATCAGCTAATAAGCATGTTAACAATGTATTACTGTTTCCATTAACTTAAGCTCCGTCCTCCAGTTAAATCAGAATATCTTCTAAATATTTTATGCTAAAGATTTCAGATTACGTACCTTGTCTTTGAATACTGTTTCCTTGCTTGAAAATCCACACTGCAACTGGAAGCTTTGAGGACCTTCCTCTGCTAGTGAGTTGTTGTGTCTTGGCTGATTTAAAGAATTGCAGGTTATACTGTTAAGGAAGTTGGGGTCATTAGGTGGAGCTGCAACTAAGTCATCACCATAAGTATCAAAATTTGGAAACTCTTCATGATTGAAGCCATTTTCCAAATGGTTCTGCCAGGATCCTTTTGAATCAACAGGCTGATTCTGTTACAAAGAGATGTATAAAGAACATGTAAGTTTGTAGTGTCCTAAGAAAGACGAGAACATGCAATGTAAGCAACTATTGCTTAAACATTTCTTTTACCTGCAAGTTGCCCATTTCAGTTACTGTTTCACTGCTTTCATTGTTGTAGACTCTTCTCCATGACTCTGACAGTCTGTAATCACATAGAGGAACATTAAGAGTTCCTTCATAGGAGTAGTCATCCCCATCAACAGATATTGAACTCACAAACTCCTCATCCTGCTCAGTGGTGTCCAATTGAGCTTGCTCCACATTCTGCTTGAAAGGGAATTCATTAGATAACATATCATCCAGTTCGAGATCATCAAGAGAGATACCCTGCTCTTGAATTTGTGCAGGTGGTTCAACCAGCACCTTATACCCATCTAATGGTTCTTCTGGGTTTGCTTGTAACCTAGGACCTCCCTGAGCAAGAATCATAGACATGCAACCATTACTTTTAACCAATGCCTCTTCCTGCTCAATAGTGTCCAATTGAGCTTGCCACCCATTCTGCTCAACAGTGAATCTAGTGGAGAACATATCATTGTAGAAAGAGCCAAGTTCTTGAATTCCATTCTGGTCATTACTAAGGCCATCAGGTTCCAAGAGATCCTCAAGAAAGATACCATCCTCTTGCATCTGTAAAGGTTGTTCATAATCCAGCCCATTGTAACCAGAAAATGATTCAGGGTTTGCCAGCGACGGAGGACCCCCCTGAGCAAGAATCATAGACGAGCAGACATTAGCATCAACATACGCTATTTCCTGATCAAAAGTGTCCAATTGAGCTTGACACCCATTCTGCTCGACACCATTAGGCAACATGTCATTGTAGAAAGGGACATGTTCTTGCATTCCATTCTGGTAATTAATAAGGCCATTTGGCTCTAAGGGATGCTCTTGCATCTGCACATCTACTTCATGTTGTAGTGCACTGTAGCCAACTATTGTTCCTGGGTTTGGTTGCAACTTAGGACCTCCCTGAGCAAGAATCATAGACGAGCAAGCATTAGTTTCAACAAATGCTTCTTCCTGCTCAATAGTGTCCATTTGAGCTTGCCATCCATTCTGCTCGACAATGAACAAATCATTGTATGAAGGGCCATGCTCTTGCATTCCATTCTGGTAACTGCTAAGGCCATCAGGTTCTGAAGCAACCTCCTGCATCTGTGTAGCAGGTTCATAGTCCAGTGTATTGTTGCCAGCTAATGGTTCCGGGTTTGCCTGCGGCTGAGTACCTCCCTGAGCAAGAATCATAGACAAGCAGGCATTTCTTTCAACAGGTGCTTCGTCCTGCTCCACAGTGTTCAATTGAGCTTGCCACGCATTCTGCTCCACGGTGAATCCATTAGACAGCATATCATTTTCGAGAGGGCCATGTTCTTGCAGTCCATTATTAGTGTTACTAAGGCCATTGGCCTCAAGAGAGACCCCCTTCTCTTGAATCTGTACAGGTAGTTCATTATTTGGTGCATTCAACTCTGGACCTCCCTGAGCGAGAATCATAAACAAACAAGCAATAGTTTCAATAGATGCTTCTTAAACTTCCATAAAACACATTGATACTACAAGGTAAGACCTATGAGTCAATCTTCAACTCACCTCAGTGAATGCATAATCAGCTGCCTTACTATGAGAGGGAGAAGCCAAGCTGCTACCTAGCTCACCTATATGCTGAGTTGAGTTCTTCCCAACTGGTCTTTTCTCTAGGCGGCAGACCACATAAGCCCTCTAAGCAAGTTTAAGGAGAAAAGAAGATGTATTGACAGGTTAGGATGTTGTACTGTCAAATAAGAAGCCAAATTATTGTTACCACTCTCAGCATACTATCAAACTTGGATCAGAAAATCCAAACAAACACATACGACCTTTGAAATTACCATGCATAAAACCTTCTTGCTTGAAATTGAAAACAATAAACTGAAACTTCCAAATGGATAAAAGATTCTAACAAAACTGAACATAATATATCAGCTAATACCAAATTCTTCACAAGAATCTAAACAAACTTGAGAGGAATTGAAAAAAAAATATATCATGATCCAAGAGAGTGAGGTACCCGATTAGGTGGAGAAAAGGCCTCAGTGAGTCGGTACTCGTGAATCAACCAATTGGTTCTGATTCCATCAGGTACACGACCTTTATGGAAAACCAAAGTTTTCACAGAAGCAAACTTCTCGTCAGTATCTGCCGCCATGATTGTACGGCCTTGACCAGTGCCTTTCCAGTATCCGGCCTTGGTTAATCTGTTGGCCCTCTTACTGTTGCGATACTTGTAATCTAACTGGTAGAAGAAGTACCAGAGTTGAAGATTCGACTGAGCTGCCGATCGCTCTAAGATCATCGCAAAACGGAAGCCAAACCAGTCAGATTCAAGACCGGAAAACCAACGACACACAATCGGAATGATTGAGTACGGTAAATAGAGTACACTTACGAGGTAACTCCCAGGGCTCGCACTCGAGGATGTCGACCTCGGCGATGGCGTTAGTGAGATGATCGTTGCCGTTCACCTTGTTCAATAGATAACCAAAAATGAGTTCGTCTTCCGTCGGACGGAATCCACTTCCGACGACGTTGCAGTAGCAGTTGTTGGTGCTCATTTTTCCCCTATTTACAACAGAGATGAATCAAAGTCGAAAGCAGAGTGTAAGGAGGAGAGCGTGTGAATTTTCTTTGCATGCAATAAATATTATTTTCTGGGAGTATGCTTCGCAGTGAAGCTACCAAGTAAGATACAAGATACCCGCGTTATTTCTCACGTTCGGTTACGTTGTCTTCTACCATCATTCTACATGTACTCCCTACGGAATCAAGAAAAGTAGTTTTTATTTTTTATTTTTTTGGTTGTTGTTTGGTTCAAACTCATTTATTTACCATTTAAATTATAAAATATTAATTATTTTTAATATTAAAATCTTTTAACCTAATGTAATTGCACCAAACCAGGAGTTCTTCTTCAGTCCACGCTTGCACTCCGGGAAGACCTGCAAAGCCTCGAGGTGGAACTCGGGGTAGACATTCCGATGCTTAAGTTAGCAATAATCGGGGCTACCTTTAGAGCGGAGATAAAAAGAGCTTAAGGTTGGTTTCAATTACCTTTCTGAGGTGGCCCCT